AACATTCAATCAAATTAAATAACACTACTTATTTATTTTTTCTTATCATCTAGGCTATCTAAATTTAACGCAAATACTCACTTTTAATTTTTAATATAAATCAATACGAATAAAAAAATCCATCTTCAAAAAGACTCGACTGACTTAGTTAATAACACTACTAAAAAAAGACTCTTGTTCATTGCTAATAACACTACTAAACAATGTTAAAACTCGATTGACTTTGTTAGGTTGTCAGTGATTTTAAAGAAAGAAAGCCAACACAATTTCGTCGGTTATTTTTCACACAAAAATACATAACACTCTTAAAAAGAAATTATTATTTTTTAAAAAGAATTATTTTTTGTTAATTTTTAATTTTTTTAACTAAAGTTAAATGACATATGTCGATTTAAAATAAGAAGTTGCAATTGAAGAATATATATAAAAATAAATAAATCATAAAAATAGTATTTCGTGTTAAAATGGAACATAAAAAATGGAGTTCAAGGGTTAAAATGGAACAAGGCTAAGATAAAGTGCCAAAATGAAAAATGTGGACAAGTTAGAGGGGTTGTATATGTGTTTGGTCATATATATATATATATATATATATATAAATATAATTTAACTACACATCAACGAAAGTTTAATTTAATAAATTTAATTTATCGATCAAGTTAATTTTATAAATTTAAATTATATACCTTCTAATTATATAAATTTAATTTTATTGATCAACAAAAGTTTATCAATATCAAATTTAATATATAAATCTCCTTGAATTGATCATCGGTATTTCTTTAATTGATAATGTATTTCATATCTGAACCACTAGTATATAAGACTTGATTTGTTAAACTACTCGAGGAATATATATATAATTGATCAACGTATTTCATACTCCGATGAAGTATCCTTTACATGTCATCATAATTAGGAGGTGATCACTATACTTGACATCCATTCAAGATCGAACGTATATAATAATACTATCTCGCATTTCATACTGGAATGGATTATATGTTAGCTCTTCACCTCTACTACATCATGACATGAGATATTAAGTTTATGATTAGACGACGGACTGATAGGATTTGTACATTACTCTATAAATATAAGTATAATTATCTCATAATTCATATCAACGTAGTTTCATACTCTAAATATGGATTATAGATATTTTTTTATTTATTTCACGAATTCTAACATTTTATTTGTAAAAGTATACAAAATTGTTACACTTTTTGAATAATTAATCGTAGGTGTAAAATGAAATTTTAATATTATGCACAATAACAAAATTATGATTAATAGGAATATTTTAAACATACCGACCTCCGGATGTCGCTTTTATTAAAAGTAATTAGATATAATAAAAAATACCGACCTCATGAGGTCAGTATCACATTAAATTTTAAGATAAATAAAAAGTAATCATGTTAATTAAATAATATTGATATCGGGAGGTCGGTATTTTTTATTAAATTATTTTTTAACTTATATAAAACCGTCATTCGGAGGACGATTTATTTAAAGTTAATTGAAAATATTAATTTATTACATACTATTTAATTTTACCGACATCTGAAAGTCGGTATTATAATTTTTTTTGTTTTTAATTTTACACAAAACCATTTTCCGAAAGAAGATTTAAATAAAATTAAATCAAAATATTTCTCAATTTTGTTTTTTATATGGAGAAATGGGGAAAATTGCGTCTGCTAGTGCCGATATTTTTAAAAAAGCGACGGACAACGTCTCTATGTCCGTCGCTTTTAAAAAAAATGTTTGACCAACATTTTGACCAAAAAGCGATAGACTAAGAGACATTATCCGTCGCTTTCTTAAAATATTTGACCAGATATTTTGACCAAGAAGCGACGAACATAAAGATGTTGTCCATCGCTAATTTAAAAAATAATTAAACAATTAAAATTAATAAAAAGCGACGGACGGCGTGACTTTTTTTAAATTAATAAATAATTATTTTTAATAAAAAGTGACAGACTGCGTCACTATCTATATAAAATAATTAATTAGCAAAAAAATGCGAGAAAAAGCGACGGACTAAGCGATGTCGTCCGTCGCTTTTAAAAAAAAAAAATTAAAATTTTTTAATTAAAAAGCGACGGACTAAGAGACGCTGTCCGTCGCTTTTTAAAAATGTTTGACTTGATATTTTGACCAAAAAGCGACTGACTAAGAGATGCCGTCCGTCGCTTTTTTTTAAAACTAATTAATAAATTAAAATAAATTAAAACGATGGACAGCGTGGTTATTATTTAATTTATAAATAATTATTTTTAATAAAAAGCGACGGACTAAGTGATGCAGTCCGTCGCTTTTTGTAAAATAATTTTAAAAGTAATTATTTTAATTAAAAAGCGACGGACGGCATCTCTTAGTCCGTCGCTTTTTTGGAGCGACGACGTCCGTCACTTTTTCTTCCGTCGTTTTTTAGCAGTTTTTTAGTAGTGTTCGATGTCTTGGTGAGCCTATTGATCCAAGCAAGCAATTTCGAAAAATTCTTCGAGTTCTTCCCAAATCCTGGGAAAGCAAAGTAAATGCCATCACTGAAGCCAGGGGTCTGAAGATCCTCACCATGGATGAGCTAATCGAAAACTTGCAGACTTACGAGCTGAACAAACAACAAGATTTATCCAAGAAGGATGGAAAGAGAGAAAAACTTGTGGCGCTGAAGGCATCTCCAAATGATGCTTATAAAGATGATCAGGAGATGGCCTATTTGACTAGAAGGTTTCAGAAGATAGTCAAGAAACATGGAGGTTTCAGAGAAAGGGAAAGTCCAGCAAGACAGCAAATGCAAATGATCTCTGTCACAAATGCGGAAAGCCGGGACATTTTATGAGAGATTGTCCGAGCCATAAGCATGAGTTCCAAGATTATGCCAGAGGTGACAAATGTAGGGACCATGTCTCCATGATAGCAGTCAAGGATGATGAGAATATCTTCAACTCCATCTTCTAATGATGGCAAAGACAGATGATGAAGACGATAAGGAAGAGGTAACACTTCTTGACCTTAAAAGTGACATAGACACTTCCTACATTAAAAGGTTAAGAAAACTCGCTATTGAGTTAATCGATTATGTTGATGAATTAACAAAAGAAAAGAATGCCCTTAGTGAAAAACTTGGAATTTTGTCAAGATGAAAAGGTAGCTCTCGTTTCTCAGATGTCTAAAATGAATGATAGATTGATTACTCTAGAAACTGAGTGTTTGCAACTTAAAGAAAACCCAAAAACTTCTAAAAATAGAAAAATGAAGCTTAGTGGTTTGAGCTAGATCTTGAAGAAAATTTAATAACTTCTGAGTTAAAACTAGTTGCCGCTCTTGAAAGAAACTCTCAGCTAGAAAGAGATTTAAGTCAAGCTAAGATGAGTTAAACCAATCTTTGAAGTGGACTAATTCTTCAAAGATTCTTACAAACTTGGCTAATTAGAAATATAACAGTGGTAAGGGTTTAAGATGTCGGAAGATAGAGCCTCCCTATAACCCTCATAGCAAGTATGTGTCTGTATCTGATAACTTGTTATGTACTCACTTTGGTAGAAATGGTCACCTGAAAAGAAACTATGAGTCCTTGAGAAAAGCTAATGAAAACCAAGTTGATTTCTCTAAATCTGAGAAAAGGAAAGAACCTGGTCCAAAGAATAGTTTCAGTAAGAAAACTCTGCCTCCTTGGACCAGAAGGTTTCTTATCAAGCCCTTTGATAGTTTTTGGGAACTCCATCTTAAGTGGGTTCTTATATCTAACAAATGACTCTTCAGATAAAGATTTCCCAATCAACTACTTCGTTTAGGAACCAAGAAAATTGAGTACTTTAATGGACTGATCACTAAAATTGTTAACAAGCTTAGCGGTTAGCATCATGTCATGGTAAACTTCCGTCATATGGAGGAAAACTAAATCTCATTAAACATGTTACGCCAATGTACACCATGACAACTATGGATTCTTTAAAGGGAACCATCGAACTCATTAAGAAACACTTGCCAAGGTAATTTGAGGGTTCCTACACTAAAAAGGGCAAATACCATTGGAGCTCATCAAAAAACTTGTACAAACCTGAAAAGAAAGGTGGTATTGGTATTGAAGTATTACAATACATAAGTGATACATTTGCCACTAAAAGAAAATCTGACTAAATTTGGTAAACAAGTGTTAACTATGTGTAAATGTTACGAATCAATGCACTTTGTAAAATTGGTGGAGGATTAAACCTCTCAATGGGATACGCAACTTTCTACTACACATAACTTTTATCATGGTCAACTTGGAGATATATAAAAAAAATACATGTCTTGTACATATGAAGACCAAAGAAAATATTGGGGGAAAAGAAGAAACATCAATATTTTTGAAATTTAAATAGAGCAATTGATAATTCAATTTGTCAAGGCACTCATCACAATCAATATAGAGATAGAAAATTCCTTACTTATACTAGTAAGGCTGATATATTTGGATTAACTAGAGATAATGTTGACATTTGTTGAAGTTTAAAGTTCAATAATATTTAACATATATGCTTGTCAAAAGAGATAACAGAAATGATGAACTCGCAGTCACAATTGCCATAACATCCATGGATCATATCACAGTATAAGGAGTGGCTAACCAAATTATGAATAGCTTAGCTAAAGAGAAGTTGATTCAAAGCTTTTAATCTTAATTGCAGCTCATTTGTTTGACTGCATGAACTTTCACCTTATTGGTGTCAACTTTCTAATCACGCTCTAGGGGAATCTTAATAGTTCATTTCTATGAAACTAGAAGACGCCCAAAACAAATAAATAAAAAAACAAACTATTTGTTGTCAATGACCATATCTTGGAGCTAGGTCATCCCAATACCGCCATCATCCTTATTAAAATTGCACGATATTTTGTACAAACAACTTTATATATTTTAGTTAAGCACGATATTTGTACAAATAACTTTTATATTTTAGTCAAGCAGATGACGCCAAAAACAAATAAGGAAAATAACCAAATTAATTGTTATCAATGACCATATCTTGAGCTTTATTGCCATCTCCTCCATCTCTATCTTCGGATACATCGCCATCTCTAGTTTCTGATACATCGTCATCTCTGGCTTCGGATTCATCACCATCTCTAGCTTCAGATACATCGTCATCTCTAGCTTCGAATTCATCGCCATTTCTAGCTTCGAATACATCACTATTTCTAGCTTCGGATACATCGCCATTTCCAGAAACTTCAGATACATCACCATTTCCAGTTTCAGACCCATCGCCATCTCCAGCTTCGAATACATCGGAATGTCTATGCACTCCAACTTCTATCAACCTATCATCGGAAAGTCTATTCATTTCTGTTATCGATACTTCTAGATGTGTAGTTTCTGCTATAATGGAAACATTAAAAATAAACATCACTCTATCTTCCTCCATATCACTGCCACCATCATCACCTATTTCATCTTCATCTTTCTCCTCACATTGTTCGTCCACTGGCATCTTATACCTACAAATCGGACACGATCCATTGATCCCCAACCACTTGTCAATACAAATCGAATGAAAATGATGTTTACAGTGCATCTCCTTAGCTTCCTCGCCAATTTCAAAATTGGACAAACAAATAGAGCAATTAATCCCTTCACCTAAAACCTTAACCATCGGTATTGCTTTAATGGAAGCGATTGATGCAGGTAATTGCCCTTCCAAAATAGGTTCAGCATTGATAGGATGATCTTCGAGGAAAGAGATTGAGTTGTTTGTTGCGTCCACCACTGCCACGATATTACGTTCATCTTCCGATGGTGGAATAGACCGGGTGAATCGAAGTATATGAGTATAAATCATTGATCTGACTTCAGTTTGGGTTAGGCCTTCGAGAGATGGAAGTAACACTGATGCCACTTCCATATCTGGACCTATAGTTTACTGAATATTGACGAGAGAGACAGAGGACATTTTTTTATTGAAGGATGGTGCTTGATTTATAGGGTTTATTGTTAACTTTGTGAGGAAGTTTCTAGAGCTTGATACTGGGTCCACATTGAGGCTCGATTTGGTTGTATTTGCAGTGCAGGTTCATTTAAGGGGTAAATGCATAAAAATTTGCACTTGATTTGGTCTCTTATTTAGTATTTTCTATATTTGTACTAATCTAAAAATAATCACCTAATATATTTATTTTTATATTTTAAAAAGGAAAAGAACAATTAATAGAAGAAGACTAAAAAAGAAAACGGAAGAAACACTTATCACCTATACGCTCCACATGATTTCACTAAAAAATCATGGCACATATGCTTTGATGAGGTCACAATGAAGTCAAATAAAAAGAGACGTTCATGGTATCTCAAGTAGGACTATCAAAATAAATCCAAATATAGATAACCAGCTTAATCAGTCCAAAATTTAATGAATTGGGCTAAAAAATGATGCTTTGATGAACTGCTCATAAACCTTGAAACAATACCAATAGAGTATGAAATATATAGATGAGTATGAGCCAAATAAATCAAACCTCCAACTAGACTTCTAATCCTGCTGCAATTTTTCATTTATATTCATGGGTGTTGTGGCAGATTTACAATTGACAAGGCCAATTCTTTTAAAGAGATCTGATGCATATTTCTTTTGAGAACAAATACTTTACTTCTCCTTATTTCACCTCAAGCCCAAGGAAGTAATGCAACAAACCCAAATCAGTCATCTCAAATTTACTCATTATTCTAGATTTAAATTCAGCTACAATAAAGTGAGATGAACTTATATAAATTATATCATCAACATAGAGGCATACAACAAGAAGATATTTTTATTGAAGGATGGTGCTTGATTTATAGGGTTTATTGTTAGCTTTGTGAGGAAGTTTCTAGAGCTTGGGACTAGGCCCATATTGAGGCTCGATTTGGCCGTATTTGCACTGCAGGTTCATTTAAGGGATAAATGTATTTTCACGAGTCTCTTGTTTTAAAGTAGGTTGTATTGATAACTGTGTGAGGATCATCCTACATTCGGGGGGGGGGGGGGGGAGGGGGAGGGAGGGTTGGCAAAATATTAATTTGACCTCATGGTTATTTACTTTGATGTGCACCTAAAATAATTACTTGAAATGCCCATAACATCCTTTTTCGATCAGACGTCATCCTAACGACATCGTGATGTTTACTATAATTTGTTGGTAAAGTCACATGGAGTGTGCAAATAATAAGTGTTCTTCCATTTTCGAAAAAATATATATCTGGACATGTTTATTTACTTTGATTTCCACACAAAATAATTACATAAAATGCCCATAACACCCTTTTTTTATCTGAGGTCATCATGACAGCATCGTGACGTGTGTTTTGATTTGTTAGTGAAAGTCACGTGGAGCGTGAATATGTATATTTACTTTGATGCTCATTCAAAATAATTACTTGAAAATTTCAAATTATCTCGATTCAATTTAAATTATTTTTAGCCCAATTCATTAAATTTTGGACTAATTAAGCAGATTATTTATATTTGGTCACATTTTGACAGTCCTACTTAAAATACCATAACACTCTTTTTCAATCGACGTCATTGTGACCTCACCAAGGCACATGTGCCATGATTTTTTTAGTGAAGTCACGTGGAGCGCATAGATAATAAGTGTTTCTTCCGTTTTCTTTATTGGTCTTCTTCTATTAATTATCCTTTTCCTCTTTCTTTTTCCTTTTATTTGTTAAACATAAAAATAAATATATTAGGTGATTATTTTTAAACTAGTAAAAATATGCAAATATTAAATAAGTAATTAAGAAAAATACCAAATCATTTTGTTTTTCTTCTTTTCTAACTTCATTTGTTTTCAAATTATCTTCTTTTTTACACAGTAATTCAGTCAAGTTGTCTAGATTTTATTTAGTTGATTTAGCAAATTTAAGTATTAATTGAATTTAATATCATATCATATATTATTAAAAGTGGAAAGCTCAACCTCAAAGTTGGATTACCATTTTGTCATTCACTTAAATATTATTTCTACTTTTTTTATGCTAATGACTAATTAAAATAATCAATTTTAAAGTATTCAATTGAGCTCTAAATTATGTAATCTATATATAATATAAAGGAGAAACATAGACAAGGTGATACAGCACCCCTCTATGGCCTCCATTCATATTTATCTTTTTTCTCTTGTTTTTGAGATTTTTTTCTTAATTCTTTTCATTAAATATTTTATTTATTAAATAAAAAAACTAATCATATTTACTATTCTAATTATATCTAATGAGTTACAAAAAACCTCCATCTATTCATATTCTCTACTTAAATAACATGCCTCTTCAACTTATTCTTATGAATTATTCTATAAATTACAACCATCCATGGAGATGTTGAATATTCATTTTTCATTTTCTCAATCTTTCTTTCTATTAGTGTAGGTTTTTCTCATTATTTCTTTCTATTAGTGTAATTTTTTCTCATTCTTTCTAATAGTGTAGTTTTTTTTCTCTTTTAAAAAAAAATATTATTCTTCATCTTTTTCGAAATCATAGAAAAGATAGTGACATGATATGTTCTTTACTTTGATGAAGATCAAAGATATATTCTTCAAAGATTCATTATAAAGAGATGTTCTTCAAGATCATCAAAATGAAGTTTAATTATGTTGAAAGATTCATCAAGAAAGATGATCATATTAGTATAAAGTTTGAATGTTTCCAATATTTTAAAGATTCATAATTAATGTATTGTTTTGATTTCAATATTCTAATATTTTGCCATGCTTGAAAGGTATATTATCTATATGGTACATTTCTCATAGCTATTACATAGTGTTGTACTTAAAAATCTATATATAATATAAGCTAGATGTTAGAGAAGTGAAGTTGCACCTCTCTTTGGCCAAAGATTCTATTTATCTTTTTTCCTCAATTTTTTTGACAATTTTCCATATTTATCTACTTACTTATTATTGTACAAAAAATAAATATATCAATTACTACTCCTCTATTTATTGTTATACTTAAATGTCTGAAAAAATATTTACACTCATTATTATTCTTTGTTACAAAAAATTAAAGTCTCAATATTTACCACTTTAATATTTCAAATTATTTGTCTCTTTTTTATTGTATTTTTTTTCCTCTTTCAATTTTGTTAAATTCAAAGAGAGAAGAAGTTTATTTGTTTGCTTTCCTAATAAAACTTAAACACCCAACAAATGTTGAATAGTACATGTGTTTTATTTTTGGTCTTCATTATTTATTTATTTTCTTCTTTTATTTATTTTAAAATTCTTATCTCCATAACTTATACCTGATTGAACTTTTACTTTAATTAATATTATTAACTCTTTTCTTTAAGTTTTCATATCCATAACCCCCAACTATTTAATTTCAAGATTTAAAATACCTTATGATATTAATTTCTTCAATTTTGTCTATATAAATTCATATTTTTTTATTTCATTAAATTCCTACTCAAGATTATTATTTTTATTCCATATTTAAAATAGTGATATTCTATATTATTGTTGTAGTATCAGATTTATAATTTAGTCTGACTCCATGAAAAGGCCCTTGGATATGGATAGAAGGGGTGCTTGATAAAAGCTCAAAAAAATTGCATTGATTATCTTATTTTTTATCATCTTTGTTTTTGTGATTAAGGACTTGACAAAATTGTGTTGTTATTTTTCTCTTTTTACTTACTTTTTCATATGTTCTCTCTCTATATATATTTTTTAATTTAGGTTCTTATATATTTTTTAATTGTAGTAAATTATATTTTCATTTAGGCTCAAATTATTTATTTGTAACTTTGTCAGAACACAACTAACTATGCCAACAGACGTTCAAATTTTATTACTAATGGCTCAAAAGAAATGCATATTAAGTATTGAAATACGCAATTCTTAGGTATTTCTTATGGTGAATAACCATTTAAATTTGTTCATTTCTTCTACTTCTAAAGAATTACCAGAATAATATAAGAAATTGGCAATAGAGATTTATTTAGATGATAATAAAAAATAGAGAAAAATAATTTTTTCGACGATAATGAATAAGAGAAAAAACAAGGACAAACAAATGATCAAATATCAAAGAAGAAATGAAATAGAAATATTTATCTCTTTTTCCTCCTATTTTTAATTTCATCATTTATTTTTTTGAATTAAATGAAGATTCATCGGATAGTAAATTTATTATTTGACAAAAATAAGAAAAAAAAGCAAGTCCTTATATGTGTTTATCCAAATTTTATGTATTAACATCATAATATATGATTATTATTTTTAATAAATTAGTCTTTTAATTTTGAAAAAATATTTGACAATAAAAATGTAATTCACTCAAGCTCTAATTCTACAAATATTTGTATTGTGATTTTATCATTTTTCTTATTTCTATAATTAATTTTTTATTTCTTGTATCATAATTATTTTTTAAAAGTAAATTTATATATATATTTCTTAACTGCGCGAAGTGCGGCCAAATTCCGTAGTAAAGATATAATGGAAGATAAAGTCATTCAAATGAATGAAATAAGTAACAGTAATTTGCTAGGTGGAAGTCCAAGCATTTCAAATTAAAAGTTCTAAAAAAGACGGTTATATATTACAATCCCCAACAATTCATATTTCTTCACCCCACACGTGTATGTTTTCTCTTTCACGTATTCTTTTACTGACAATGATGTGTAGTTGAATTTGGTTTTGACAACATAAGGCTCTCATCTTCTTCTTCCTTGTTTACATAAAGTTCTTATTGTATGTTCTTTCAAGTATATTGTTTTCCATTTAGCATCTTAATTGATTATTTTATCATATAAATTATGCTCAATTCTTTAATTGATGTCTAAGGATTTGATCTCTCACATGAAAAAAAACTACTACTAAAATTTTCTTGTAACAACTTATGAGGTAACTTTTAAATCTCAAG